ACCTGGAGTACTTCCTCACTGCAAGTATGTCATTTGTTCTCCTCCCCAACCATATATGTACATATACTAACCACAAATTGTAATAGTAATGACCTCTGAATGATGTGCATAAAGCAATTCCATCTGCAGCTAATTCAGTACTGACACCATTTCAAGAAATTTGAAGGCTGAGCAGGGGAGGATGAGTTTGCATTGGTCAAAATGAGGTCAGTTATGTTAATAACTGAGTATTCAGAACTTCAGATTAGTTGGAATGATGTCAATATCACATCAGCAGTGGATTGAATGGGACTACACACCCACCCATACATCACTTTGGTCAATGAGGTCACATACTAAAAAGAATATCAGGATCTGAGTACAAGCCAGAATTTCAGTGAAAATGAACATAGTTGAGAAGGATGGAAGCATTGTGGAAGAGGGATTAAGTACTACTACTGTCTGCAAAGCCATCATTGAGATGTTTCTTTCTATGAAATGAATGTGTTATCCTGGACTTGAATTCCGACACCCTCTTGGCAAGATTGGTCAGAGAATGCACTAATCATATAAGTATGAGAGTTAGTGAAAAACAAAAATTAAGCTCACTGCATACCTTTTCCCCTAGAGTTTACAGTTATATCTGCTGGAACTGCTAGAGGTGGAAGATTCAATACAAGTGGTACTGAGTCTGAGGTTTCTTCTTCAGGGACTGTAATCCTCACATCAAGAACTTGAGTCTTGTAGGCTTCTTGGACATTGGGCATAGTGGCAATCTTGTGGGAAGATTCTGCTCCAAGAATTCTACTTTTCAATCCCTGAGCTTGGACATCCAGTTTCTTTGCCTCTGTGTATTTTTCCAGGATTTGATATGTGGCTGCAAGATATGCCATGGCATTGACTGTATCTGGGTGTTCTACTCCAAGAATTCTGGTGGTTGCATCCAGAACTTGGATCTGCAGTTTCTCTGCCTCTGTGTATTTTCCCAGGGCTTGATATGTTGCTGCAAGATGTGCCATGGCATTGACTGTATCTGGGTGTTCTACTCCAAGAACTCTGGTGGTTGCATCCAGAACTTGGATCTGCAGTTTCTCTGCCTCTGTGTATTTTCCCAGGGCTTGATATGTTGCTGCAAGATGTGCCATGGCATTGATTGTATCTGGGTGTTCCACTCCAAGAATTCTGGTGGTTGCATCCAGAACTTGGATCTGCAGCTTCTCTGCCTCTGTGTATTTTCCAGGTCTCGATATGTGGCTGCAAGATTTGCCATGGCAGTCATTGTACCTGGGTGTTCCACTCCAAGAACTCTGTTGCTTGCATCAAGAACTTGGATCTGCAGCTTCTCTGCCTCTGTGTATTTTTCCAGGTATCGATATGTTGCTGCAAGATGTGACATGGCAGTCATTGTATGTGGGTGTTTCACTCCAAGAACTCTGTTGCTTGCATCCAGAACTTGGATATCTAGCTTCTCTGTCTCTGTGTATTTTCCCAGTCTATAATATGTTGATGCTAGATGTGCCATGGCATCAATTGTATCTGGGTGTTTCACTCCAAGGATTCTGTTCCTTGCATCCAGAACTTGGATCTGCAGCTTCTCTGCTTTTGCATATTTTCCCATGTTTCGATATGTAGCTGCAAGACTTCCCATGGCATTTATTGTATCTAGGTGTTTGAGTCCAAGAATTCTGGTCCTTGCTTCCATAACTTGGATCTGCAACTGCTCTGCCTCTGTGTATTTTCCCAGCTTTTCATATGTTGCTGCTAGACTTGCCATGGCCTTGATTGTGTCTGGATGTTCCACCCCAAGAATTCTGTTTCTTGTATCCAGAACTTTAGTCTGCAACTTTTCAGATTCTCTGAAATATCCTTGTTCCATCAACAATCTCCCACACTTTGCATAAGCATCATCTAAGTAAGTAACACCATTTCTGTTACTTTCTGATCTGGAATGCTCTATATTTGCTCTTATATGTGTTACCAAGGCCCTCTGAAATCCATATGGTTGGCTGTTATTCCATCTTAGTCTTAGTGAACAAGACAAAGTAACATATGCCATTAGACAACATTGTTTCTTCCCATTTGAAAGCATTCTGTCTCTGCCCCATGTATGCACCAGTGGATGCATTGCATACACACCATCAGATGGGCCTTTTTTGATCAAGGAGAATGACAGTAATATTCGAACTCCCTCTTTAAAGAGAAAGTTATCCCAAGTACCCAATTTATTGAGAGGAAGTAGTCTCCGGTCCAGCAGACAACTGGCAAGAGGTAACTTTGAGCCAGAACTTTTCTTGTCTTCTTGAAGGGCAGCATAAAAAAAGATGTCTTCAGTAATCCCCTCATGATGGAAGAAAGGAAATAATTCCATGAGGAGTATTGCACTATTGGCTGCTTTGGCCTTACAAGAATCATCAGATTTAGCCCTTCTCTGAATTTCTTTGTATGATAACTCCCAAGTTTCATAAACAGTTTTGTTATACTTAGAAGCTCCAGTAAAATCTGAATGAAATAATAGTGTCTTTCGGTGCTCTGAATATTTTGCAAGGTAGTCTCTGATAGTGGTTGCTCCAGAAGCAATGTAAGCACCAGCCTGATCAATTGCAAGAGGAAGGCAGAAGAGCTCTTTTACAATCTTAGAAGCTTCAGATTGAAACTCTATCGAAGATGAATTCAAGCAACTAGCTTTTAGAAGTAATTCAAGAGCATCATTCTCTTCCATCTCAGTTATTTCAAGAGAGTTCTCAGGTGAAGTCAGCCTCCTCATGGCAGAATTGCGACTGGTTATCAGAATATTTCCCCCCCTTCCAGGTGGAAGATAAGCTTCCAGCTCAGCAGGTGATAGAACATCAGCATTATCAAACACCATTGCATAGTTCTCTTTCAGTGAGCCAATCCAGCAAAGAGCAGATTCAGGTGACCCATCCAGTGCAGAAAGCTGAGCCTCAGAAAGGTTACAGATACCCTTCAGTGCCTGTGTGATGGTGCTAACTGAGGATGCATCAATCCAAAAAACAAAACAAAAGCTGAAGGTAATCAAAAAGTGTTGAAGTTGTATTTAGTAGATACTCACTGGTCAGACATCTCCTTGACAAACTTTAAGCAAATCTGAGTCTTTCCAATACCCCCCATTCCGTGCAACAGGAAGAACTTTCTCTTCTTAGCTCCATCATTTGTGTTAGTAAAAAAATGCCTCTTGAGTTTGGCGATGACTTCTGTCCGCCCTGTGAACCGATTGCTTGGGTTTGGCATGAGGGGGATCACCCCGTCAGACGTCGTCCTATTGCCGTTGTGGATGTTGTGGATGTGCATCTGCCGAGGTCCGTACTATCAGTCTGGTTCACTCGGACATGATGACCATTCTAAGTACTCACAGTGTTAGCGATATTGATCGTGCTATTCTCAACAAGAACGCCGTGAGCGCCCTCAAACACGTTCACTACGCTCATGTTAAGATATCAACGATGGAGAGGTTTCGGATGAGAGAGGGAAAGGAAGAAAGGGGAGCGCCCAGACGCCAAAAGACCCCCAATCATGAGTTGGTCTATTTGTATATATGTATTATGTATACACAAGCACGTGCCTGGGCTTTTCCGACTCAAGATTCTCCTTTCCTTCGTTCTTCGGCCGCTTACTTGATTCTGTGGACTGGCTCGACTTTCTAGCATGTTGGTATGGCACATACAGGGCTCACGACCAGAGAACGAAATCCGCTGGCGTTGAAGGTGCCTATTTATATTGTGATGGGCGGTGCTTTACAGTTGGACTCTGCATTTTCCCCATCTAAGTTCGAAGAATTTTCTGGAAATGAAGGTGCGTGGTGTACTCACTAGACATAGCATCGTCGGCTGAAAATCTTTTGGGTAGCCTTTATGGCAGATTTAGCTGGGTAACATTGGCACCCAATACCAGAAAACCGTACGCGATCTACAGGTAACAGCCTTTCCAGTGTCGCCATCGCTCGAAGTTAGTGGCCGGGTCAGAAGGCACCGAGTTCGCCCTTGTCTCAACATTCGTTGTTATCGCTGCAAACTCTTTTCCAAGGACAGAGGTGCGCGGTGGCTCAGTGCATTGCGTTCCAGTGCTTGTGTTGAATCGCATTGTGGGAGGTCAGCTTGGGGCTCCTTGGTTTGCTTGACGGAGAACGTCAAGTGAGTTTATATTCTTTCCTATGGCGGCGGTAGCTAACGATTGTTTACGCAGCTGGCTCTATTGATTCTCACCGTATTCCCTCGCACACCCACATTTGCTCACTCCTCCTAAACCAACGGCCAATGAAAGTTGATTTTGTAGTTCCCTCAAGTTGCACCCTTCTCTGCACAGGCACATCGTCTAGGCCTCCCAGCTTCCCATCCCCTCCCTCAGGTTCGGAAGCCAAGCAATTCTTCACCCTTCTCACCTTCCTCCCGGCTGATGTCGATCGTTGGGAAGGCCACTCAAACCCCACGGACGCACGACTTCATTTCGGTATTTGGGGTCTCGGGGGAGATTAAAGGTGGTGAGGTTCCCGTCGTTTACGGGCGGGTATCTTGGTCCGGGTTCGGACCAACCTTCTTCGACAGTGAGAGCCGAAGAGTGTGAGAGTCGATTTGCAGGGGCCGAATGCATCTGGAAACCCGCTCATGTCCCCCCTTTTTCCCCTTTGTCGGCTTCCCCAAGATTCAAGGTTTCCCTCAAATTTCTCAACGACGCCCTCGATTCGCCGTCTTTCCGAAGAGGCCTCTCCATCGTCGTGGGTTGGAGTTTATATGTTGATTTCCCAAGCTCTGAGAGATAGGGAGGACCACGTTGAATTCGCATTAGTTGACTTGGCACTCGATCGTTAACTCTGCTTCAAAGATTGCGAAAAGGAAGGGCGGTTAAGAGGAGAAGGGACAAATGGGCGTACGGTGGATGAGCCTAGTGCTATGGCAGGTGTCTGCTGTGGGATGGAGTGGTGATCCTGGGTGGAGGTAGAGGCATTAGACACGGTGCTCCGACTCGATGACGAGGGAGAGCCTGCGCGCGATATATTTTAAAAAGCGCTAGGCGAGCGATCGAGGAGGGAAAGTGTGTGGAGGTTCGTAGAGGTTGGTGTAATGGGGTGCTAGCGCTGCAACCTGAACATCGAAAGAGCCTCCAACTTGCCAAGGTTCGAGAGGTGACGGAGTACAAGTGGCATAACTCCATTCTTCATTCAAAACCAATGCCGGATATGTCGTGGTTTGAGGGGGACAGACACCACACGAATTTTGGTCAGTAGAAATTGCAACAGCTTCTCGGCAACATATACACGCATGCAGGAGGAACTCATAAACAACGGGGTGGAGTTTGGACACAGTCGTTTGGAGAGTGCGTGACATGTAGGTCTCGAATCCTCGAACTATATATATAACTTTTAAATGACTGACTACTAAGTATCAGTCGCAGGTACGATATAAAATGCTTCCGATCTCCATGAATGAATTCCCATTGTAAGGCCCCCCGCAGTAATTTTTAGCATCGGGCCCGCTCGCTGCACAATTGTACTCCCCCATGAAAAAGTTCAACGGCTTCGATGGGATACCTGGAGGCCCATAATCCCGCTTCCCAATCGTCTGCCCAGTCTTCACATCCGCAATAGTGAACGTAAGGTACTTTCCCTGTTCCAAATACAGCTGGTATTCGTAAAACTGTTGGCCAGCCGCGCCATTGGTGGTGTCGGTGTACACCCCGCCGCCCTGGCGCTGGGGTGGCTTGCCAGGGATGTACGAGCCAGAGCCGGTGTAGAATGTGAATTCGGCTTGGTTGTTCCCGCCACCGTAGATCTCTGCGATGTCGATCTCGTCGCAGTCGTGGTAGTGGCTGCCGTTGGGGTCGAGGGGACCGACGACGCAGAGCCCTTCGCGGAGGACGACGTTGGAGTTTTTACCGCTATCTGGGGCTCCGCGCATGGTAATCCAGATGCTCCTACGTGATTATTCGCTCAAGTTCGATATGATATTTAGAGGAAGGGGAAAGAAACGGACGTGTAGGGAGCGCTACCGTCATTGAAAACGAAATCGTAGCGAAGCCGACTCTCCGTGTTGGGGTCGTTGATATCGGATGTTGAACTGAACATCCTGTACCCGTTTGGACCAGCCCCGCTCACTCCGATTGAGTTGTCGTAGCCGGGGTAGGTCTGGAAGTTGAGGAAGTTGTGGGAGACGTGGCGACACCCGTCGGGGTCGAGCCTCTGCAGGAAGCTCGCGTTGCTTGCGAGGGCTTCGGCTTTGAAAGCGCGCATGGCGACGTCGGAGGCAGCTGCACGCGCTCTGGATTGTCTCAGGCCATGTGCATGCCTGGTTGAAGTGAGTGACATGCTGGAGTCATAGTTGGAGATGAGCGTGAAGTCGAATACAGTTTGGGCAAATGCCCAAGCTGAGAGGAGGAACTGCATTGTTCAGTGGGAGTGCTGATTTTTGGCGATTGTCCACGAAATGAGCGTACCTTTATATCCTGACCACGGTCGCGTACTATGGCCGACATCCTACCATGAGCGCGGCAGCGCCAGCCCCTCGAGTCCTTAGAACCACCTTGGTGCAACGGCCCCCGGACGAGTTGGTCTAATTTTATACCTGACCACGCGAACACGTGCCTGTCATGTATTCTGGCCTTTTAAATTTCCAACTCATCCTCTTTGCTTTCTCATTCCTCGGCGACTTATCCTCTTCATTGGATTTGCTCGACTTTCTAACCCGTTGTTCTGTATGGCACCAACTGGGCTTACGACTAGAGAACGAAATCCGCTGGCATTTGAAGGTACCTAAGTATAGGCTATTTATGTTGTGATGTCAATGGGCGCTGCTTTACAGTTCAACTCTGTATTTCCCCCATTCAAATTCCTCCAGCGCGCATCAGCATCAACGGCATCATGGATTCGACCAGGTTCGACCTTCGCGATCCCTCTCGCAAGTTCCTTTTGTCCGTGAATGTACCTGGTGCCAATGCGGAATTTTATGATGAGTTGTGGTGATCGATCGTCGCCTAATGGCCACAACTTGAATCATCATCATCACGGTCATCATCACACTCACCAGCAGTAGCACCAGCGACAGTCAACTGATAGCGCTCCCTCCCTATGATCCTTTACGGGAAGAACATGCGAGTGGGAGTGGTTTCGAGTACCAGATTGAGTGGCGAGGGACGAATATTGATTCGGGGCGTGAGGGGCTTTGTGTCGTGGGGAGGGGAGAGTGGAGGATGAGAATTTTGGAGGATTCTCTAGTGCACCATTCTGAGTCACATTGGCCCTCTCCGTAGATAAAAACATTCTTCACATGAGGTCTTTTGATGGAATTCTTGAACGGCTGGAGGAGTGACACGGAAATGGGGGGCTCACTGTCGTTGAACGAGGACGTTTGCGGCGAACCATTGTGCTTGGCAATGACGAGCAGCTTGATAACTGCTCTGCGGGGATTGAATTGCAGAGAAGGAAGTGAAAACTCATCGTCTGATGTTGATGGCGTTCGCGGCAGAGTTCTGAATCGCGAACGTGGACCGAAATCTGAAGATGAGACGGATTATGTAGAAGAGGCGCAAGGACGAAGCGAAGAGAAAGTTGAGATGGGTGGACGCGGGAATTTGAGGGAAACATCAATGAATGCCAAGCTGAACGACTGAACCAGTGAGGGGACGGCACCGGACTGGGAGCAGTAGGTGGACGATAGGCAGGTTGGGATGCGGAGAGAAGGATGTCATTTCCATCCCATCTCAAGTGCCTATATGCGTGCAAAACCACCTCAAACCGCATACACCTTCCGCGCATTCTCTGTCCCCTCCTTCCCCCATTGCCAAAACAACGAACTCGGTCGTCCACGTTTCATCACCGTATGACATATCAGCGACACCCTTTCCTTCAAGCTGGCCGTGAGGGATTCGTATAGGTTCGAGAGACATGAAGGAAGGTTAACTTTAAGGAGGGTTTGGGGCTCCAAGAGAGAGCTGATGGAGAACGTTTGGTAGATCCGCATCTGTGAAGAGAGGGGATGAGGCTAGAAGGGAAAGGGAAAAGGGTAGGAGTACCCGCGATGTAGATGTAAACGTTGGGACACTGGGCCACGCTACGAATTCCGGCGTATCGAAGGAGCAGTGTGCGTGAATCTGTGATAGTGGTATGTTCTTGTAAGAACTGGGAAAGGATAGCCAACGGAAGGGGACAAACCTTGGACTCTTTCGGCATCTCCTCAAGACCGCTACGTGTCGTCCTCCGCCTCATGGTACGTATCGCCAGTCGGTTTTCAAGCCTAACGGCGTGTTTGAGTTCAAGCCGTCCGAACATCATTTGTTGCGTGTCGAAAACTTGTTGTAGTAGTGATCGAAACCACTCTATTTCCCTGAATACGACGCGGCGTGTATGTAAGGTCATGGCTTCTACTAGGGGGCTAGGGTCAGAGACGAAGGAGGAACAAAGATGGGGAGGTGACGTACGTGCCGTTTTCTACGGAATTGGCGTAGCGACTACGTAGCTCAGCCAGCTCCTAGCGCGAGATCTGGCAGTGACCAACAACTTGAACAGAATCAGTACTCGTCATCGATATGCACCAAACCCAAGTACTTACCCAAACGGAACCAAGACCCAATCCCACACCATCTCTCCTCCGTCCTCTCTTCAGCTACCGTCGAATCCGCGAGTTTCTTTCAGAGTTCCTGGGCAGGCGCCTTGCGCTACTATACGGCTAGGTGTTCTTCGAATCCAGAGTGTTGAAACTGCTCTCCCCCCATTTTTTGACGGGATTTTTTCAACTGATAGCACTGTAGTAGTTCAAAGGGGTTGTTGAGGGGGCTGTAAGAGGACTTATTCGACCGGTTTTTCGAGTTTTAGTGGGTTTGAAAGACAGACGAGTGTAGGACGGCGTTGGTGTTTGTTTAGGTGATAGGTGCTTGAAGATAACTGCCACCGTTCCCCTTTCACCTCGTTCTCAAGCAAGTACAAAGTCCCAGTAAACTACAGATGATTGATTGAAAATACTACAACGCGCCCGCAGGCCTATGCGACTTGGAAATGTACACCATATCCGAATGACATTCCACATCTTCCGTGACCACCAATCTTTTTGTCAAATGCCTCCAACTGCGACCGGCCACTCAATAACGCCTGCATCGGCTGAGCTAGGCGTCCGTGGTCCTCGAGAGGTCTACCCAACTAGTCCGGCGGAGGGTAGCGCATAGCGAGAGTGGCTGGCCATGGCTCGTGTCCCTGAGTACTTAGTGGCCATGAAACGGGTCAGCAGTGGGAGATTAAGGGAGCGGGTTAGATGCGGAGGAGGGCGGTACAGAGTCTAGGTTGCTATCATCCATCGTTGACATAAGGGAAGTTAAGTAGAAGGGGTTCGTTTGCGAGTCTCGACATTGCACTTGATGTTGTGGTAGCGTCGGATTGATCCTCCCAAGGAGAGTGGCTTCAAGACGTAGAGGAATTGCAGTAGAAGGTGCTGGTCTTTGACAAGGTGGATATCTATGTATCTCATCCTATGAGAGCCAGCTGACTCGTTAGCTACCGTTTTTATCGAGGCCGAATGAAGATAGACTTACTGAAAGATCAAGATTTGAGCAAAGGCTGGCAGGGCCCTTTGACCTCACGTTAATGAATTTCAAACAACCACAACCCTCTCTTCGCCTGCGAGCACTCTTTCGAGCCATCGACATTATCTTCGCCAACGAACATCCAAGACTTCGACGAAGCTCAGCCTCCTAACATGGTTCACCAAACAAGATATCAGCGCCATCAGAACCTCCAACCACGACAGGCGTTGGAGAGGGGCCGAGTGACGCAAGGGGAATGCCTTGCACGCGAAAACACCGAAAAGGGTGGATGGATCGATGATGGTGTAGATAATCTACTCCAAGGCTCCTGCCAAACACAACCAAACAAGTGTCTTCAGTGTTGGAGTGTCGAGGCCCGACACTCCAGCGTAGTCTAACTGAGAAGTGCACAGAAGCCAGCTTCACCAAAATGGGCCATCATTGCGACCTAATCGGGCAAAGGAGTCTCTCTGATTCGTTGAAAGCTTTTGCAAGGTGTACGAGGCGAGCTGCTAGACGATTAGTTGGGTCGTGAAAGGTAGTTTAGAAAATCAGGCGTATTGAAGAAGCGGCGCATATGGATCTGCGGTAGTGACGACCATAAGAAGGCGATATCAACAAAAGAGGCAACAAAACAAACCTTGAAATCCTTCCAACACCTTCAATATCGGCTCAATATCGTCCTGTATGTATCACGAACAGTTTCTGGCCTAGCAGCGTGTTTTAGTTGCCGTCCGAACGACGTTTGTTTCATGTTGGCCTACCCTGTTTAGGGTAGTGAGGCGCCAACTTCTGTCCCCCGTTGGAGCGGTAAAACGCAACAAAGAGAAGCGGCGGCACGGAAAAGGGGGTCTTATGTGAGGGCGTTGAAGAGGCTATGTTGTTGTCGTCCATCGTTGACATAAGGGAAGTAAGTGGAAGGGCTTCCGTTCGCAAGCATCGACTTGGGCTTAAGTTGTGATAGCGTCGGATGAGGACTCGTAGTCTCCTAGTGGGTTCAAGACATAGAGGGGTTGCGACAGAACTTCCTATAAGCAACCTATAAGAGCCAACTGTGTGTAGACTCGTTAGCGACCACCATTATAGGAATGAAAATAACCTTACTTGAAAAGACTCCACAATAAATGCGAACCGATGAATCAAGAGCCCTTCAACCGCACCTCAATAACTTGGAAACGGCCACGACCCTCTGTTCGCCAGTGAGCTCCCTTGAAAGCATCGCCGTTGTCAACGCTAACGCTTGACGATGCAGAGGGTGAGCAAGGATGGAGTGATTTTGAGTATGGTTGATGAGGTGACGTTGGGGAATGGGGAGATGTTTCAGGCTAGATGGGTTGGCGGTGAATGTTGGGGGGGGGAAAGGATCAGACTAGGGGAGCTCGCGAGTCTGGGGCCGCTCAACATCCAATTCGCCCTCGCCATTTCCGGGTTCGTAGCACAACTCTCCAGACGGAAGAGAACGCGAAAGTGGGACGCTAAGGTAGGTGCGTTTGGTGACGATGAGCAGCTTGATCCTTCCTTACAAACACCTAAGCCAACACCTCCATACCCCACAAACACTCCACGCATTATCCCTCTCCTCCGCCGTCCAAGGTATTAGCGCCGTATAGCATACTAACGGCAGCTTCCTCCTCTTCAAAGGGCGGGGAGGGTGTTGTATGGTTGCCAGGAGTCATTCAGGGCGTATTTGTTTCGAAGAGAGTTTGAAGTGGTGCTGCGAGAGTCATTTGTGGATATTTGGTGGATGATGGTGTTGGTGATAGTGTTGAGCTGTCCTGTCTTCGAAGGGAAAGAGGGAGGAAGAATGGCGGTGATTCCAATGCTCGTTTTCGTGTTCCTCATCATTGACACTGGCGGGCAGCCGCTCGATAACGTCCGCAATCCTCCCATCCTTCAAAGAATAATCGGCGAAGATTTCGCCTGGATACCATGAAAAGGGGAGAATAGAATGAGCCATATGGGCGAGTCAAAAGATATAGAAGAATTCACACCTTTTCTGGACAGTAAATCGGGATAGTGTCTTCAATTTACGGTCCTCTCCTACGGGATTAGACGTTGACGGGTTTCGACATTTGCACCCTAAACCAAGTTGGGCGTAGCCAGATGAGGACCAAGAAACGTACAGAACGAGCTTTGCGTACCTGATAACACCCCAGAGACACAACACATAGATGTAAATGCTGGGAAGATGTAACGGTTGGGGAAGTGGGCCACGAGACACGTTGCAAACTCTAGCGTATCGGAGAGTAAGTGTAAATGAATCTGCGGTAGTGGTATGGGTTTGTAAGAACCGGGAAAATGATAGCAAAGGGAATGGAACGAACCTTAAGTTGAGCTGTTTCGGCATCTCCTCCCCTCAAAGTACGCTACATATCGTCCTCCGCCTCATGGGCACGCATTACCAGTGGGTTCCTCAGCCTAACGGCGCGTTTGAGTTGCCGTCCGAACACTGAAGTTGTTGCGCGTCGGAAAGTTGTCCTAGTAGTTACTAGTGATCGAGCCCTCGACAATTACGGCGAAGGATGGGCGGGTCATGGCTTCTAGTGGGGCTGGAGTCAGAGATGGACGAGGGACTGAGATGGGAAGGGGACATACGTGTAGAAATTGGCCTCATGACTACGGCGTGTATAGCCAAAAGCTGGACAACTACTGAATCAGTACGCGTCATTGATATGCACGAAACCAAGTACTCACCAGCTCCCAAACGGAACCAAGACGCAATGACACTCAGCCCTTTCTTCAGCTACCGCCGAATCTCGCAGAGTTTCTGGACAGGCGCCTCGCACTATTCTTCGAATCCAGAGGGTGTTGCAACTGTTATTCCCCATTTTCGGCGGGTTTTGACGGGAGTTTTTCTACTGCGTAGTTCAATAGGGTTGTTGACGGGCTTTGAGAGAAAGTTCTTCGACTGTTTTGCCAGGCTCCAAAATGCAGCCACTCGTATCGCTCGATGAGTCTCTTCATTAGTCTCGTTCCCGACATTATAGGGCAGGATCAAGCGCTGTCCAGGAGGGAGATAAGATCCCATCAGCGGACTTTAAAGTCGGAGGCAAAAAAATGAGAAAATTCACGCGCAAGATCCTGCGTCTGGTGCATTTTGATAGGAAGGGGTAGGCTCGTGTGACAGGCTCGTAACACACCTCATCCTCAAGAAGTCCTGCATCCCAAATCATCTCTACAACTTTCATGTCTGCTCCAAAATTATTTCTGAGATTTATAGCATGCTTTATCACCAATAAAGTATAAAATAACTGAGCTCTACACCTTAGCTTCATTGTGAGCAAATAATCATAGTTGAAGGAGAGTACAAGCCTTCTGAAAGGTTAGTGGTGCAGGAAACAAACTCAGTCTTTCAAAAGTAGCTTGCAAAAATAAAAGCTAATATTCTCTTCAATCCTATGTACAAATCAATGACAAGGGACAGCATTTTGCACTTCACAGGACCCAGTTTTGTGCATTGGATAAGGCAAAAGATGTTATCTGCTTGTGCAACATCCCTACAGTCCAAAGCAGGAAACTTGCACATCCTCAGTTCCATAAGGCCAAAACATATAGTCTACATGGTTTCCAAACCATTAGGCAGGTCCACACCAGTCTCAGAAATTTATTAGTAAAATATGTGGTTGTGTGATCAGCATTTGATTTTGACCAAGTAGCATGCCTCTTCAAGAGAAAAAAAATAGACAACTATTCAGATCCAATCAAGGTAGTGTAATAAAGTCATTTTCAGAAAGAACATTGAAGTTGGTGGTATTATTTCGTGAGGAATGGTGTGAACAAAAGTGACCACCGTGATGTTGTCACACGAGCCTACCCCTACTGATCAAATTGCACCAGATGTAGTAGAGAGGTCCTGTGTTCGTGTTTTGTTCGCTTTTTTTGCCTCCGACTTTAAACTCCGCAGACCGCTGGACCGGACCTCTCTACACATCTGGAGCTGAGATTATCTCTTCATACTATTAGCGGTATGACAAATAATATGATGTGATCATTGATGGGATGGACAAATAAACAAAACTAAGACTCGAACTCGCAATAGAGGGCCCGGTTACCATGGTTGTGGGAGTATAAAAGGAAAGAGAGAAAAATTCCCAAAAAGGAAAGAGAAAAGAGAAAAAGGAGGGATTTTCTGATCTATTAATACTATGACACTTGCTATTGGTGAAAAATTCCAGAAAATTACCACAAAATATATTGATTGTTATACCACATTTACATAATACTTCTGATGGTGAAAAATGAAACTATGTAGATTTGTCTGCATTCTGAGCCCTCAAAAGAAATTCACAAGGATGAGAGGGGTGTCTGTTGTCCTTTCCTTTACATTCCTTTGAACCACATGAACCACAGCTATTTGTGCACTGATCCTTCCTAATTCTCCCTGAACATCCTTCTTCTTCACACTTCCAACATTTCCTTGCTGCATGTTTCAGACCAACATCCTGTGTAGATTTTTTGTTTTTCTGTTGCCCTGAGGTATTATTTCCACTGGGCAATACACTTGGTCCTGCAACTGAAATATTCTCAGGTGGAAAATGGATATTATAGAGCATTGCTTGGTTTTGATCAGCAGAATGACTGCTAACCAGTTGCTTTCCTGATGTTGGAGGCTGGGCCACTGGTAGTGTTATTGCATGATAAATTTGTGAAGCTGTATTTCTTTCAGGGTTATGAATTTGAGCTTCAACTCCTTTGCATTGAGATCTAGTTTGGGATTGTGTTGCAAGATGTGCAACATTTGTCTGCCAGATTGCATAGTATGCAGTTAGATGTTCCTCAAGCTTGAAGTATAATTGATAAATGATATCTTTGATATAACATTAATTGGGTTTCTTACCTTGTAAAATATGGTTTTACTATCAGCATGATCACGGTTCCAGATTTGGACAGCAGTCTTCCAGTCAGGCTCTTGTTTATCACGATTAAAAAATGGGTCTGTTTGAATAAGATGAGAAAATAACAGTTTCTCTGGAACAGTATGAACAGCAATAACTGCAAATTGTGTTTGTTGTCGTTGAGCAAGAAACTGATGAAGTGATTTTGAAATAACCCCAGGAATATTTGGCTGCATTAGAGCTTTAGTATGCAGTATGGAAGGGATTGGCAAAATTCCTGAGACTTCAGATGTATCCACATAGAGTGAACCATTAGTCCAACCTTGAATCCTGTAGGAAAGTGGAACATGAATTCTAGTTTTCTCAATCATTGTTTGCAGTTCATCATAAAGCCAAATATCATCATGACCAATAAATCTATGTCCAGTTTGGTTTTTTGTTCCAACATGAAGATTGTGGTGAAGTTGAGAATCAGCCAGTCTGTTGACAGCATTGCAAGATGAGATGATAGAATCTGGAAAACAAGCTCGAATAGAATGATGAACACCTCCTTCAGTAAAGTTTGTGCCTCTGATGCATCGCCACACTGGTAATCCATTTTTCTTTCTGTCAAGGCCAACTTGATAGTACAGTGGAATGCCAGGGGGATCTGAGAGATATCCAGCTTGAATCACTTTCAAGACGTTCCATGCACTCTTCCAGGCAGTTGGTGAAAATAAAGGTTGCCCAGCTATAGAGTCTTTCAAAGGCCCATATGTTTTAAAGATGTTTTCAACTAAATCATAAAGTTGTTCTGGAGGTGGTATATACCGTCGAACAAGTTTCCAAAGTGATTTTGGCTGGAATTTGAATTTCTCATCCCATGATGACCCCTCAGATTTTAATCGTGCCTCAACTAATGCACGGTCCTCTTCATTGATTAAGAAAATTGCATCTCACATTGCTCTTGCAAATTGTAGACAGAGTCCATGAGTTTTTGGAATTGATATTCTGTCAAAAATGTGCCATGGATCTAGAAGAACTCTACTGCGGATAGGCCCTGCACTTGTCATTAAGTTATGCACACCAGTAAGTGCTTCATGGCCAATTTGAGTGCTGACAGGATCATGTTCTAGGTTTTGAGCTGGTGTTTCTGGGAGAGAATTTGGGTGTACCTCAAGATCAGCATCACCAGTCCAGGAGTCACCAGTAGAGTTTGGATTTTCAGCATCCAGTTGCAACTGGTATATCTGAACCAACAGTCTGTTGAACTTCAGCACTCTCAATTTCTTGGATAACTGAAACATGCACTTGTTTTCTTTTACAAACAAGTACAAAAGGTGGTGGCCTGAAGTCTTTGAGTGCCTTTTTCTTATGGCTCTCAATGATTGCTCCTGGAACAGAAAATTTCTGGATCTCAATTGCAATTAATTTATCAGAAGTTTGTAGAGCAATATCATCAACAACTGCATTTTCTTCAGTATTTAATGAAGACCAGGCACCATATGCAATTGTTTTTTGCCCATCCTCCTGATAAATTATAACTGGTAACCCTGGTGCTGCATTTTGAGGCACATTTCCATATTTTTCAAGCTGAACAAGTTTTTCATATATACACTTTGAGGCATGTGCATCTTGGGCAATATACATAATCTGATCCTGAGAAAGATTGATGTTTTCCCATTCAGTGCTCACTCGAATAGCATCATCCTTGTTCAACTTGAAGCCCAAAACCAAAGCTGATAACTCTGTCAAGCTTACTCTTGCATTTGGAGCTATGTGACACTTTTTGGCAAGTGGAGCAAGTTCAACAAAACTTGGAAATGGATCCTTTATGTTTCCTTCAGTCTGAAGGTGTTTCAGATCATTTTTAATTCCCCTGCCCACTTTTAAGATGCGCTCACCTGCAAGTATATTTTTGATTGCAACTGGAAGCTTTCCAGCCTTTGTATATTGGGATATTTGAAGGACAAAGATGTGGCTCTCAAATGAGATAGCAACTACTGCAGTCTTTCCCTGTTTTGAGTTTCCTGGGTTCTGTCAACATTCCATTCTGTATCAAACCCAATGACTACTGAACCACCTTCATCAAGTTCTGATAGCTTTTCATGAATACATGCTAGTGCAACTTGGAATTGTGAAGCATTGGACGCAGAATATTGGTATATTCTTGGAAGATGTGCTTCAATAAGTGAATCATAGAGATTATGAAACCAAGTTGAGGATGGAATATATCCTGAATATCCTTGAGGATCAGAAAACTCTGAAAATGGTCGAAATGATTGATTTTCCCAATGACTTTGTGTCTGGCTCTCAAATATCATATGTAGATACTGCAGATGAATTTGATCAAAGCGACGCACATGCAAAGTGGTCAGAATGTTGGAGAATTGCTTTGCTCCCAGCCCTTTTTGGAATAGAGACCATTGCAAGGCAAGAATAGGAGATGAGAGAGCACTTTTCATTGTGAGAACTACAGGAAATTCAGCTGCAAGTGCTTTTGGCAATGCTGCTAAAATACTTGAGTCCCAGCTCATAAATGTGACTGTATGCTTCCCAGTTTTGGGATTTTTACAGGTTGGACATTTATATCGTGCACCAATCATCCAAAAGCATTTATCAAGACCAACACATCGACGGGGTATCTTTTGAAGTCCATGACGAGTTAACCAAGAGATCTTGCAAACCAGGCATTTGATTTTGGCCAATAATTCTGGATCCCAGTAGAATAGCCCAAAGTCATAAAGAGATTCAGGCTCAAGAGATTTTGCCTTTATCATTACAAACCATCCTGCTTTTTTAGGAACCCAGAAGGTTTCATAAGTTCCATAAAATATAAGTGTTCTGTTGCTGTCCCTTTTCTCAACAATGGCCAATTTTTCCTCAAGAGCTTTTTTGAACCATAGAGGAAAGGATGGTGATTTCTGAGGTTCTTCTTCTGACTCTTCATCATGGCATTCAAGACCAGGATCTAATTCTTCAGCTTCTGTTTCTCCTGAAGAATAACTCTCTACTCCAATCTCATCACTTTCATCACTGTCTTCAACAATAGTGCTTTCATCAGAGGCAGAGTCAGGAATAATAGTGCGAATTGGGAGATTTTCTGGACTAGATAAAACTGCATTGCCCATAGAATTGTTCTTGCTTTTATCAGAAAGCCACTGAGAAACTGATATATATTTTGGGCCACGAGGTGCATCTTTATCACATAGAAGGGGGAGTTTAGCAGAATTATTGTTTTCATTAGAAGGGGGTGTATCAGGTGTGTGCACTCACTTCTGTTTACCCTTTGACCTTTCAGATTGTTCAGTCATTTTTGGTCTTCCTTGCAATTGTTTTGGCTTATCTGAGGAGTAAGCACCACTTGCTTCATTTATATTCACATCAACAAATTGGAAGGAAGTCCCAGCCAAAGTATCAGAATGCTGTGCATCAGCATTGAAAGAATTCTCCCAAGTATAGAGACCCCCAAGATCAATAATCATGTCTGAGTCACCAAGACTCTGAGATGGAGAACTTGGAGAGCTCTCAAGATTCCCAGGAGTACTAGGTAGATGAGTACCAGACACAGAGCTTTCCAGATTATTAAATATAGAAGGCCTCAAGCTCTCAGAATTATCAGACACATTTCTTTGGTTGATCTGATCACTAGAAGAATCCCAAGATGGATATGCATGAGGATCTAAGTCAGGAGACAAGCTTATCTGAAGGTTGTTAGTAGAATTGGGTGGGTCGCAAAGAGGAAGTAAGGGGAGTTGTGATGTGGAGGATTGATTATCTTGACTAGAGTTATAATATATTATTAGTATTGAACTATGATTCAGATTGCTGATTTCTTACCCAGAATTGCCAGAATAACTATCAGACATGATAATATCTGGTAAGAGGCTACTTGAGGTTGACCTGCATAAAGATATAAGAACCAAGTAAAGAAAAATCTTGATCTCAAACCAACAAATACTGGGTTGGAGCACTGATTGGAACCCCATCCAAAATGAGGGAGTCTTCATGTGTCAAATTGCTAAAGAAGTTGTCATCAAACTCATTGGGGATTGCATCAAATTCTAGATTTAAAATATATGAGTATAGGAGCACCAACAGTAAAAGCAAATTACCATCTTCAACTGGGTCCATAGCACAATCAAGATCAGAGTAGATCAGTGAGATCTAGAAGGATCTATCATGAAATATGTCAGGGAATGGATATTGTTCAGTGTAGAATCAATAAATCATACATCTTTTGATGAGTAGCACAAGAAATGATACAGTACACAAGGATGTGGGAAGAAAAGAAGTCAAAAACATCGAAAATTCAAAGTACAAGACAAGTCATGTGGGGTGTGGGAACTATCTACCATATATAGCAGCATCCGAATGCAGAAATCATAGCAGCTGCTAATGTTTCCATTCTCGGAATTATTTTGGTAGCAGCTGCTAATGTTTCCAAATATGGAAACATTAGCAGCTGCTACTACCCACAGCCATGGGAACTCCGCCCGATAGAGCAGCTGCCAGAAAGGTTGCGCAGGCAGCTCAGACATCATTGATTAACCCTAACGTTGGGTCCCAATCTGCAAGGAACCCTGGTGTGTCACATTTCGGTCACCAACACTGTTTCGTCTAATCTACAGCTGCTTTGTGCACATCATCTACGCTGTCCTCATCAGAATTCCCAAGTATGGCTATATCTCGAGAATGGACATGCGTTTCCGACTTTGGCCGATGGATGTGCGCTATCAACTCACTCAGAACCAACTCCTTTCTTTGGATGAAGATTCGCCATATCGCATCGGCACACATCATTTTGAGGTGGAAGAGGCCTGTAACAGGCACCATGAACTGTACACAGTTCCAGGGCGTCGATTCCTCTAGCTGGGTCATTTTCAAGCTGCATAGATGTTGGATGGTAAGGAGGTCTCCAGGTACCAGAATGACCTGGCTGTGTGGGTCTCACGCGCTCGGTGTATGATGCAGATTGCCAAGGTTGTCATAGTCGGACAATGTGAGGAGGGTCCTCCTGCTGGTGCTATGCATCATAATACTCAAGCAGGGCACCTGTTTCTGGAAGGCAAGTTCCTCAATCATGTATGTTGCCGACTTGAATCACTTACAATCACAACTAGTAGGGCCCTAGGGGACCGGGTTAAACTGGTAGTTAGTTTTATAATGAAAGAGCTTTTATAGCCAGTACATTTGTAGACATATGTATTTATTGAACTTGACATGACCATACAATGATAAGTATGCTATGGTGGCCTACTGCGGCACACTTTTGTACTATGTGTTCCATAGCCTCTCCTCTACCACTGCCGCTGTCCAGGACCTGTCACACAAGCCCAAAAAGGCTTTGAGTTGGGACCCAACGTTAGGGTTAATCAATGATGTCCAAGCTGCCTGCACAACCTTTCTGGCAGCCGCTCTACTATCACATGGGGGGAGTTGGACCGTTTTCAGTGTCTGGCTCCATAGCACAATAAATACAACACATTTTCTTTGCTTGTAGGGAGAAAAGGCTGCAGTTGTTACTGCTTAATGTAAGTCTCAGCAGAAGTTAACGGAATTTTATTGATGTGGTGCTACTGTAGCTTGATTTCGATGAAACAAGTTCATTTGCATACACCAAAGGGTGTCTTGGTCCAATCATCACATGTTTGTCACATTGGTTTGTAGTGTCGCAATTGGCGTGCAGTGGAGTCTCAACTTGTCACCAGGATCCGTGGTGTAACTGGCTGTCCCTGCAATATGCACTTCACAGAGCACTTGGACGGGATTCAATTACTAGAATACATTGAAAAAGATTATATAATATACTTGAGATAGTTTTTTGAATGAACTTTGGCCATATGCTCATGTATCTACCAAATTTGGGTGTGTCACAACTTGGTGTAAACACTTTACATTTGTCTTGAGAACAAGCCACAAGTTAGAAATAATTGTGTAAAGAACCTGAATCAGTTTGAGAGACATCTATCTATCTATGACCAATTCTTGGAGGCTAATGGATGATTGTGGAAGAAGGAAGAGATGAAATAGTAAAATGGTCCAACCCAATACAACGGTCCAACTCCCCCCACATGATAGTATCGCAAGTTCGAGTCTTAGTTTTGTTTATTTGTCCATCCCATCAATGATCACATCATATTATTTGTCATACCGCTAATAGTATGAAGAGACTCATCAAGCAATATGAGTGGCTGCATTTTGGAGCCTGCTGTTTTGCTAGTTTTTTGTGAGTTTGGAAGATGGTGTTGGTGTTTGTCTACATGGTGGGCGCTTAATCATGGTTTCACAATGGGCACCATTCCACTTTTACTTACCCCATTCTCAAGGAAGTAGACAGAGCTAAAATGTTGAGGGTTGGTTCTATGATTGAAAATACTACGACTTTTGCCTGTGCACACGTAGGTCTATGCGGCTGAGAGATTCCACAAGATCCCTGACCACTTGTGCCCCAGAAATCTCCTTGTTGAGTTCCTCCAACTCCGACCAGCCGCCCCATAACATCTGTGTCAACTGTGAGACCTCGAAGCTGCATGTCCGTGGTCTGTGAAAGGCCTACCCAACTAGTCTGGCGGATGGTAGTGTATAGCATGAGGGCCTAGCTTATGGGAGATAAGGGAACGGCGCCACTGCAGAGAAGGTTTTAGGTGAGGGCATTGTAAAAAGCTGGGTTGCTGTCATCTGTTATTGACATTAATAAAGTTAGGTGGAAGGGATTCAGTTGCGAGTCTCGACCTTACTCTTGGTCATGGTAACAGAATGTTGGTTCAAGACATAAAGGGATTTGAGAAGAAAAGGTATCAGGACTTTGATAAGATTGATACCTATGTTTCTCATCCTGCTAGAGCCAGCTGCTTTAGTTACTGCCGTTATAACTTATAGAAATAAAGATAGACTTACTTGAAAAGATCAGGAATTGTGCCAAGAACCCTCGACCTCACGTCAATGGATGTTGAATGGCAACATACAAGTGAGCGCTCCTTCAAGCATCATCACCATCTTCGCCTATGAACTTCAAATACTTTGATGAAGCTCAGCATCCCAACACAGCTCATTGTTGAAACCTCAGTCCAATCGGGGTCTTTAACCGTGTGCAGAAACCAACTCCACCGAAATGGGCCATCATTGTGATGGAATCAGGTGAAAGAGTCACACGAATTTGTGAAAAGCTTCGGCAAGGTGCACGTAATGAGCTGCTACACTGTCAATTGGGTCATGAAAGGCAGTTAAAAGTAGGGTGTGGAGAGTGCACACCTTTTCCGCGACTAGGTGGGAGAAGCTTCCTTGGGTATCAAGAGAGCATACAGACAGTGAATCTTGGACAGGAGAGTACGTAGAGCTACCAGTTGATGTTCTCGTGAGCGTGCGTCCCAGCAAAACAACTGACAAGGTGCTGGTATGACCTACCCGGAGACGATGGAATGAGTCAACGATATGGTGATCAATTTCCAAGAACCACTGTCAGACTGCACGTGTAGGGCATCGCGGATGAGGCAGTGTGAGTGAGAGGAGATGGGGAGATGGGTTGGCGTCGATTGTGGTAGGAGAGACTTTACTGGTACAATCTGCTGAGCTTGAAGGATTGATACCCATTCGTGGGGACAAAGATGTCCATGGAAGCTTTGAGCTCGCCTTCTTACTACTCCTGACAGGACCCAGTGTCCCATCACCAAAAAAGAACTCAGCTCTCGCTGACACCATCTTCGTTCATGTTCCTCGCAAGTCCGTACGATTGTCAAGGAGCTGCAATTCGACTTCGGCATCGATCTCGGAGTTGAGGAGGGTAAGAAGTCGAATGTCATCTTGCAGTGCTCGAATCAGAGCTTCTCCAGTCCGTTAGCATTGTGAATCCACCCCAGCTCAAAGTGATCTATTTGCGGGGGTAATATCATCAGTTAGATGACAGTGACTCTCCATTCCCATCCAGGTCATTTCCAACCGGAAAGCCATCCTTTGTCGATGTTCCAATCCCATGAAAAGACGCTAACAGAGGTGTCTGGCCATCTGTCTGAGAAACGCAGGCTGCAGGCATGCCAGGGCATGGGCGTCTGCATGAGAATTCCAGGATGTGCGAGAGGTGTGATAGGGCCAAGGTTGGCGGGTGTATTTGAGCCATTGCTGTGGAGATAGTGATGGAGGAAGAGCTGGTGGTTGAGAAGCAAATGGGCGTGGGGATGGGGGTGAAAGGTAGTTCGATGGTACTTCACCTTCTTCTTGCGTGTTTTGCATTGGAGATAAAGAAATATATTGAGGAGAGTACAGAGGGGGTGGCGAGTGTGGTAGGGATGGGTTGGACGGCTGTTGATGGGGTGGGGTGGATGTTGATGGCAGGAAATTTTTGAGGGTGCTCGATGTCATCCATCCATTTCATTTCAAAGTATACTCTAGGAAAGATTCGCTTTTGTTCGCTGGAGGGTCGACATCAAGGTGAAGTTACTGTTTTCTGTCAGAAAAGATGACCGCTATTCAAACTGTTAGATGTGAGTCAGAGAGTCATAGTGGTGAGGGAATGGAAGGTCATACAGCGAAAGTTTTCGGAGGAGATTTTGAACTACCACTCTTCAAGGAGTCATTCCCTGAAAATTGGAGGTCTTAGCAGTGCCCCCCCTATTCCTGCAGGAATCCGGTCATTCTGGTGGAATTCTGGTGGATTCCGGTGGAATGGAATTTAGCAGAAGGCCCTGCTAAATTGTTTATTCCGGTGGATTCCATTCCGGTGGATTCCTGAATGTACACTGGAATGTTCCCCGGAATGGGCAGGAATGGTGTTCCCCGGAGTGGGCAGGAATGGGATTCCAGTCCAATCTGTTTATTTTATTTATTTGTCACTGTATTATAGTTTATTTATTTTCGATGGATCACAAACAATGTTTGTTTGGTGAACATACTCACCAAACATGGCCACTCTCTTCTTCCACCACCACCACCATGCTCGTCACCGCCGCCAACGCCATGCCATCACTGTCACCCATAGCCACCACTGCCAACATTGCTCCTCGATCACCCATGGCCACCACGACCACCAACATTGACCACAACACCCTTCAACAACAATGTGGCGATGACACATCACAAAACAATGAATGCCAGAACCCACGAAAACACTGCAACGCCCACGAAAACACCCCAGCACCCACGAAAACCACACCCCACCCACGAAACAACACCCAGCACCCACGTACACTGCCAGCGGACACAAAACAATGCCCAACGGATACAAAACAATGCCCGCAGACACAAAACAACACCCAGCCGACACGAAAGAAACCCCAGCACCCACAAATGACGCCCAGGCCATGCCAAGGACGATGATGACGACAGGACGACCTGTCCACACCAACAACGACCATGCCCGATGATGTGTCCACGCCAACACGTCTACAACCACCATCACGCATCCACGTCCATGCTGATGCTCACGCATCTACAACCGCCATCATGTGTCCATGACCATGCATGAATGGAAATGGGGTGACGATGAGGCTGGGGGAGTGAGCTTGCCCCCAACCAATCATGTAAGTATCCACTATTGTCTTCCCCCTCTCATCACACACACCACACCACCCCCTCACACCCCCTCCTTCCATCACTCCACTTCCTTCCCCTCTCTGCCCTCCCCATCACCCCCTTCCCCTCCCTCCCCCTTCCACCACTCCCTCTCCTCTCCATCACTCCACCCCTCTCCATCACTCCCTCTCTCCAAAACTCCCCCCCCCCCCCTTCCTTAAATATATGGTCCCTTGCCTCTACCTGGTCCCACCCCCTTTCCTTGTCCCTACCCCTCTCCTTTCCCCCCCCTCCCCCACTCCTAAAA